ATGATAAAAACAATCAACAAACTACGAATACAACGAAATGTCCTTAACCTGATAAAGAACATCTACAAAAAACCTACAGCTAACATACTTAATGGTAAAAGATGGGATGTTTTCCTTCTGAGATCAAGAGCAAGCTTGCCTGCTCTTGCTAGTTCTATTCACCATTATACTGGTGGCTGTAGCTAGGGCTAGATAAAGAAATAAAAGGCATCCAGACTTAAAAAAAAAAAAAAGTAAAACTATATTTACAGATGTTATGACCATGTATATATAAAATACTAAGGAATTCACTGAAAAAAACTACAGGCAAGTTTTGAACTTCTGACTTGCAGACAACTTGTACTAGCCCTTTACTGTTATGTAAATTTGCCCTCACTTTGAAAGGACTGAACCAATTACTACTGGCAACAAATTCTTCATCAAAATCACCTCCACTTGCTGCACACACAGCTTTTAAATCACTGAAAAGGCTTTGAGTTTTTGCTTGTACCTAAAGTAAAGCTAAATAAGAACTGTATTCACCTGTTCTGACTTACCTACAAATTCAACTTAAAGACTTAAAGACACAGTTAGGAACAGATCTTGTTCATAATAAGCCAGGGAATACTTGTATTAAAACTAATAAATGAATTCAGCAAGATTGCAGGATATAAGAAAATATGCAAAAATTAATTGTATTTCTATACACTTCCAAAGAACAATACAAAAATGAAATTAAACAATTCCATTTACAGTAGCATCAAAAAAAATACTTAGCAATAAATTTAACAAAAGAACTACAAAACATACTATGAAAATGATAAAAGCTTTGAAAGTAATTTAAAAAGAACTAAATGGAAAATAACTCATGTTCATAAACTAGAAGACGTGACATTATTAGGATGGCAATACTCCCCAAACTGATGTACAGATTCAGTGCAATCTTGATCAGAATCTCAGCTGACTTTTAGAAATTGTCAAGCTTATAAGAGACTAATTTAACATTCATTAACAGAAAGAAACAGAAAGAACGTCTTGCCTTAAAATAATTTAATATTTAGCATCTCTGAAATAATAGTAACTTTCATTAAAGTCCGTTGCCATCTAGTCGATTCTGACTCATAGTGACCCTACAGGACAGAGCAGAACTGCCCCACAGGGTTTCCAAGGAGGAGCTTCGTGGATTCCAAATGCCAACCTTTTGGTTAGCTACCAAATGCTTAACCACTCTATGAGTCGGAATCGACTCGA